ACTCAGCTCTTCACAAGAGCAACCAAAACTAGCCTCAACCAAAACAATTCAATGGAAAAAAAAGAAGAAAAACTTAAGAATGAACAGCACCATTCCATGTTACCTAATGGGAACGTTTAATCCTTCCTGGCCAATATATAGATTCATGCCATTTCCATTTCTATTCCACCACGCTTCTAAGAATTCAAAGTCTGAATTTGTTTTGAAAATGTATTACTGTCAAAGAATATCATGGAGAAAAAATAACAAGGCAAAACTAGCCCTTCCAGACATTAGAAAAACATACTATAACACGTCAATAATCAAAATCACATGACACTGGCTCCAAACTGGAAATAAAGTAAATGGAATGTGTAAAGAGTCCAGAAATGAATTCTCACTGCATATAAGAATGTGGTAAGTGATAAACACTAAGAAAAACCACAATGAGAAAAGAAAACCATTTAATTAATGTTTATAGGAAAATAGGACCCTGATATAGAGAAAAATTAATTTAACCCAGTCCTCACTATACTTATATATGTATAGATACAGATACACCACTATAAATTCCAGTGGGATAGTTCTTTTTTAACATAACATCATGAAAAAAAGTAAAACAGAATAAAGTATGTATTCCCTCTATAGACAAGAGAGAATCTTTTAACTTCTGAGGCAAAAAGTAAAATTGAAAATATTAAAAACACTCATACATAATGATTTTTTAAATTTTTAACTTTTTCTACAAAAGCCACAAAAAAATGAGATAAAAGACAAAGCAATGATACAGGGGAAACTTATCACCATAAACATAACAAAAAACTTGTACCTACATACTTTACACCCATTAAGATGGCTATTATCAAAAAATGGGGGGGAAACAAGTATTGGTGAGGTGAAACACTGGAACCCTCATTCATCGCTGGTGGGATGTAAAACGGTACAGCTGCTCTGGAAAACAGTTTGAGGGCTCCTCAAAAAGTTAAACAAGGAATTACCATATGGCCCATCAACTCTGTTCATAGGTGTGCAGCCAAAAGAACTGAAAGCCTGGACTCAAGCAGGTTCTGTACACCCATGTCACAGCAGCACTGCTCACAACAGCCAAGAGGTGGACACCATCCAAATGTCCATCAACAGGTGAATGGATAAATAAAGTGGAACAATTCTGATACATGCTACAACATGGGTGAATCATGAAAACATTATGCTAAGTGAAATACACAAAAGGACATAGACAAAAGGACAATTCATTCCATTTATAATATGGGGCACCTAAAATAAGCAAATTCATAGAGACATAAAGTGGAATAGAGGTTGGCTGGGGCTGCGGGTGGGAGGAGAGGAGAATGTTAGTGTTTAAAGGGTACAGAGTTTCAGTTTGGAATGATGGAAAAGTTCTGGAAATAAATAGTGATGTAGTTGCACAACACTGTGAATGTACTTTGTGCCACTGAATTGTACACTCAAAAATGGTTTAAATGGTAAATTTTATGTTACACATATTTTATCACAATGTGTAAAAAGAAACTTGAACCAAGGATATATAAATAAACATCCAAATCTCCAAAGGATAATCAAACACTATGAAAAAGTCACACAAATAGAAAAGAAACAGTCAAGCAACTAATAACAAGAAATGCAAGAAGGTTAAACAATGAGGGAGCACTTAATACTTCTTAGCAAATAGATAAAACAGTGTTTAGTACAAGGTTGTAGGAAAAAGTAAACCTCACATACCACTTGAGGAAAATTTTACACTGCCCTGTGATATATGATTGCTTCAAACCTTTCAGAAGTCAATCTGATAATATACATTAATCTCATTTTAAAAATTCATATCCTGCCCTGACTGGTTTGGCTCAGTGGATAGAGCGTCAGCCTGCAGACTGAAGGGTCCCAGGTTCGATTCCAGTCAAGGGCATGTACCTTGGTTGTGGGCACATCCCCAGTAGGGGGTGTGCAGGAGGCAGCTGATCGATGTTTCTCTCTCATCCATGTTTCTAACTCTCTATCCCTCTCCCTTCCTCTCTGTAAAAATTCAATAAAAAATATATTTAAAAAATAAATAAATAAAAATTCATATCCTTTGACTCAAGAACTTCATTCAAGAAGAAACAAAGCTGTGTGCAAAGATGTCTACATCAGGATTTGGTTTTACAATAGGGAAATACACTAGGATTGAGGAATGGTTAAAGGAACTATGGTGTATTAACTGTGAAATAGCATGAGGTCACTAAAAAGGGGTAAATGAAGAGACCACAAATACATAGAAGCATGTATAAAAAAATAACAAAGTGAAATCTATCCATACTGCATAATTATAACCATATGAAATTATTTATGAAGATAAAAACTAATGTTGATTGACAGCTTACTGTATTCCCAGGCACCATACCAGACACTCTACATATTTTATGAAATTTGTTTCTGTAACAACCTTATGAGATATATGAATCTTGTCCTAATTTTATTAATGAGAAAACTAAGGCCCTGAAAGTCCCTGGGCTCCATGCACATACCACACATGAGGGATCAGAATCTGAGCGCAGCCCGCGTGACCCCCACACCTATGTGCAAGGAAATCACACCGAAGAGAGGAGTGAGAGATGTCATTTTTTTGAATAAAGTTTTCAATAAAAGAAGAAAAAATAAATCACTTCACAGGAGTCTCAATGAAGTGCTATACCATTAGTCTATTTCTCAATTCCACCACTTTTAAAACTTAGGAATATTATATTTATACAGACAGGCTGCCACTCACTTTCATTTTATAAAAAAATGGTTACTTTACAGTTGTGACAACACAAAAATACCACCTGGAACTCAGCTCCATTTTTGCCCCAAATGTCTTTTTCATGCATAACTGCAGGGCACAGCCAAAAGGGCTTGCTAAATAAACCTCGAATGTCTGTGGAAACATTTCCTGGCGGCACGGCTCCCGACCACCACCACTTTGGAACTGCTCCTCTCAGTTCTAAGAGCAACGTGTTGATGGATGGAGCATTCATATCCTCAAAAACCCTTCTGCTCTTGTGCTGCCAAAGAGGGGGGCTTCTGCCTGCTCCCCAGAGGGAAGGTGAGGTCTTTCTGTACCCCTTGGACAGACATGAAAGAGCCTACAAAGTCAAGGCTGGCTGGGAGGCAAAGGTGAGCTGTCATCACAGCAGAAAGGAGAGAGGAGAGGAGACAGAAGCCAAGACCTTCGTCTTTGAACAGGCAGAAATCCCTTAAATGCGGCAACTGTCCTCCGCAGATGGGTTCTGGGAACAGTTTGGGAATTCAGATGCACCGCCATGAAACTTTTCCAAGGGGTTACGGATCTTTGGCTTTCTGGGGACATGGCTGGCACCTGCCTCGTCTGCTGAAACATAATATTCCTGGAGATAAGGGCAATATGCAAAGGTACATAAAAATAAATGTCAGGGAAATACAGATCTGTTTAAACATCAAGAGTGACTCAAAGACCATCACCACATAAAGCCAATTCACCAAGAGTTTTCATAGGAAAAGCAGAGGTGGCTAAGGGAAACCAGTATCCCCCGAAGAACAAAGTGGTTGGAGTCACGGCCAAGGCCTCCAGGAAACAACTGGTTCCAAGGAGCCGGTTTCCCTGGCCCACTCCCACCAGCACCTCATTTTTCTAGGGGAAGCATGCATTCTGGCGCTCACAGAGATGCACACGGTTTTCTGCAACACGGCCCACGGCCACCACCTCGCCATCCCCTTCACACAGGTGGCAACATCCACACTGTGACTGAATGGTTCCAGTACCCAGACATGGGGTTGGCACGGGAGCGCCAGGCAGGCTGAGCCAGCGCCTCCAGCTCATCCTTGTCCTCAGGGCACAGGGTGAGCTAGTTAACTCAATTCCTTCAGGCAGGTCCCCAACTCCAGAGAGAAAGTCAGGCCCCCACACATGCAGTGAGCTGTGCAGGACACAGGCCACTCCACCCACAGTCCATGGCAGGCAACCGTATCACTCAGCACCCTGAGCCATCAGAGGGGCACTGCAGCCCTCAAACGGTGCTGCCAGAGAACTGAGTCACGAAAAAGTAACCCAAGCCGATTTCTCCTACTCAAGTCTGTCACACAAAGGGCCATGACAACACTCGTGTGGAGAAGCTATGCTGCTCCGGACCTCCTGTCCTTCATGTCATCACAAGCACCTACAAAATTATTGCAGGTGTCACTTACCAATTTAAACACCTATAGTTTATGGAAGCAACAGCCACATGTCCCTTCCCAGCTGCCCCAAGTTAAGACAAATTACCAAGTGACCAGCAGTCACTAAAAATCTGACAATTTTCAAGACGCTTAGAAAAATGAAGGGTTGTGTTTTGTTTGCCTTTTTCCATTTCAATCCAACACTGACCTGATGAGACAGAAGGAAAGCATGACAAAAAGTGAATTGTTTTGAAATAGGCCCTTCCCTTCCCACTTACAAGGAAGCAGAGCGAGCCAAGTGCAGAGACGGTCTATGTGGATGTGGAAGGGCTGTCTATTCTCAAGTGGCACAAAGTCTCACTGAAACAGCCACAGAATCCCCCCCGCCCCGCAGTAGCAGTGTGGCTTTGCCCCTGGTCAGCCTCCCAACCGTCAACAGTGCTGCCATTTTCTCTAACTCAGCTCCTAGCAACAATACTCAGTTTCCTGTCTCCCTAAGTCTGATCATTTCCTTAAATGAAAGACAGAAAAAAAAGTGTCATGTAGAAGTAAGATATCCTCTCCCAATGAAATCCAATGTTGATAAGAAATGAATACAAAAATCAATATTTTTTATTTCTGTGCAAAGAAATATTTTAGAAGAGTCCTATGGAGACTAACCTTACCTATACAGAGTATGCCAGAGATAAAGGAAGACAGGTCAATGGAAAGACTGATGGATTCGAATTCATCTTAGTATTGGAGTCTTCTCTCATCCCCCCCACATTTTGACACAGACAGAACCCCGACTCCACGTGAGAACAGGTTAGAGGCCACTGATTCAGTCTGGGCTGGCATTCTGGGCTGTCACTCACCTGTGCCATTGGCCAAGCCACTGTGGCTTGGGTTCTTGACGGGCTGGCGGTGCCGGTTGTTAGTACCAGGACTTCGCTCGTCGGTTGCTGTGGTTGTTCTGGCTGAACCACTTGAATGTCTGTGCGTCCTGGGGGTTCAAAGTATAAAGCAGACAGATGTAAGTTACTGTGGGAAAAAAGAAGGTATCCCACCTAAGTCACCGTATTCCCTCTCTCGCTATTTATTGGAAGTAAGACCTTCAATAGCCCCTGTAGTCTTTGACTCAACAGATGCTGGCTTCAAACAGAGAGACCCAGGTAAGCTTCCTTCTTGGTAAAAGCCCAGAGGCAACTTTGGGTAAACTTTTCCACTTGAAGTAAACAAATCCAGAGTGAATTGCTCCCACATCTGAAATAACTGGCAAAATTTCCTGTGACCATCACATTATTTTCATTGGGCTCGAATGTAAGAAATAAACAAGAATCACTAGACCACTGGACAGGGTACGGATGACACATTTTTCCTGTTAGGCAGAGCCCAAAATGTATCCAAATCCATTTTCTCTTTAGTTAAAAAGATGCTTCCTTTCGGAACAGAAGTCAAGGGACATTAAACAGCTTAGCCAATGCATATGTTGACGTGTTTTATCTAGAAAAGATGACTCCACAGTCCATCCAAGTAAAAGATACAATGCAGAAAGGGATCTGCATCGCAAGGAAAATGGGGGGATCTAACAACAGAGAACCTGTCTGACATCTTCAGAGAACACAAGGCAGCAGGCAGTATGTGTTCTCACATGCCTGTTGTAACTTGACTTCATTCACTCGGTGAAAATGGCTAAGTCTCCTTGCCCGTCAATTTGGCAGTTTTATCAAAGGAGATTATTCTATTACTTAGTCATTATATAATACTTTACAACAGTGAGATGATTTAAATAGTATCCAGTGAGGAAAAGACCACCCTCTCCAGGCAGAGGAACCAAAGTCCAGAGAACAATCTAGTCCACGTGACATGGGGTAGAGAGAACACTATCAACAATAAAAGTACTAACGATGACTATGGAAGTATATACTATGCATTGAGCTGCAACCTTATATTCCAGGTACCTATGGTATGCTGCACACTTTACAAACATTATCTCATTTAACATGGCAACCCGAGAAGTAGCTTACTATTATAATGCCCATTTTGCAGATAAGAAAACAGACACAGAAAAGTCCAGTAGAAAGTTAGCAACTGAGAAAACACTCATATTCAGGTCCTTGAAGGTTGCCGCCTGGGGTGGGAGGTCTGGACTTTAGCTGAATCCCTGCCTGGTGGTTCTTTCACTAGTCACTTAGCCAATGGTGAGATGAAGAGCTCTAACAGAAAGCTCCTCACACAGGGAGGTGCGGTACCCATCAAACACCTCTGCTGGTCAGACTCCAGCCCTGTTGGGTGAAACAAGCCTGCAGCACAACTAACTAGAACAACGGTTCTCAACCTGTGGGTCGCGACCCCTTTGGGGGTCGAACAACCCTTTCACAGGGGTCGCCTAAGACCATCGGAAAACACATATATAATTACATATTGTTTTTGTGATTAATCACTATGCTTTAATTATGTTCAATTTGTAACAATGAAATTGGGGGTCACCACAACATGAGGAACTGTATTAAAGGGTCGCGGCATTAGGAAGGTTGAGAACCACTGAACTAGAAGGTTCCTAGAATTGTCTCAACTGACTAACTTCTGTAGCACAAGAAATGAATTTTTCCAATAAGATGGGCATAAGCCAATATGTTAACTGATTATCTTTGGTTGTTGAAAATATGGATGCCTTTAGCTTTTCCTTTTGTGTTTTTCTAAAATTTTCTAGCTTTCTTCATTGAGCTTGTTGTATACTTTTGAACAAGGAAGAAAACACAATTTTTAAAAAAGAAAAAAAAGGTTTTTCTTGGGCCCACACAACCAAGGAAAACACCAAGAAGCCTAGCCAACCCTGGAGTCCTTCTTACCTAAAGACTGCGTGGCAGTTAGAAATGGGTAGAGAGGGCACAACTGAGCTATGGAAATAAAGATTTAATTTGGACTCTCTTTTTCCATCTTATTTTTCCCTGAGCTAATTTCATAAATCAAAAGCTGTCAACCACACCTCAGTCAAGAAAAATATTTCAAAGTCCCCACTTCATGGGAAGAAATGTTAGTATTGAGCATTTTACCACAACTCCTCATCGAAAGCAGAATGGGTGCAGACAAGTTCCAAAGGGAAATTCAGGCTTTAGCCACTGGTGAATGTGTGTATATGTGTTGAGGGCAGAGAGCTTGAGAGAGATAAAGTTGGTTAATGGAAGGTTTATTTCAGCCAAGAATCCCCTTAAAAGGACAAAAAAGCCTCTCTAGTTGGTCCTCCCAGCCCACAGCGGAGGGCTGTGTCCCTCAAGGAGCAGCATGCCATGTGGGCAGCATGGAAAAATGCAACATCAGTCCCATCACACACACACACAGGCTCTGACAAGCCCATGATTACGTCCAGTTGCCAGGCCCCTTGTCCCTCGGTAGAGCAGCTCGGCATGACAACAGAGTGGGTTCCATTACTCTCCTGGCTCCTCCCTCCCTTCCAAGAAGGGGCATGTGGTCAGAGTCGAGAGAGAATACTTTCAGAAATGTTTAACCACTAATGATAGCAGCTTACCCTGAATGACAGGCTGGAGCAGAGCCGGGATTAGCCCATAAACCAGGGGCAGCTGGGACCACTTTGCATGAGAGCTGCCGCCTCCCTGCCTGTGGCCCACCGCCACCCTTTCTCCCCTCACCAAACAGACAGACACACACACACACACACACACACACACACACACACACACTCTCTTCTTTTGCCCTAAATCTGGAGCTTCCACTTTTTCCTCTTGAACTACCTTTAAAATGAGACTCGCAGAAGGAAGAGTAGGCCTCAATGTTTGAAGAAAATCTTCTCTTCAGCAGTTTCCTCTCTTGGAGGACTCGCTCAGCCCTTAAACGTTGGGATTGGGTCATGATTAAAAGCTGGCCCAAATGCTGAAACCGCACACCATAAGCCAAAATAGTATCAGGACAAAAGCGGGGCGATGGGGTGGGGATGAGCTGGGCTCCACCACAGACAGCCTGGCTTCAGCTCTGCCAGTGACTTCAACCTTGGCCTGATCTCCACCATTTGGGGGTTGGGGGGTAGGGAGGAAGTTATGCCACCCTAGGGCAGTCAGGAGAAGGTGGAACAGCGAAACCCCACAAATGGTTTCAAGTCACCTAGTTACAGACATTCAGCTCTCTTTGCAGCATGCCCTTCTCAATGCTGGTGTATCTTCCCTTAAGTTCCTCCCCCAGAAACTGAGGCCTCCCTAAGGAACGCCAATCAAGGCCAAGGCCCTAGGAGTCTCTCTCCAAGCTCCTGAAAGTGGATCTGATGCAGGTAAGGTCCCCAGGACCGGGCTCTGGGCTGCCCCTTGACATGCAAGTTTTGACATTCACAGTGTTGGCCTCAGTCCTCAGCTGACCCTGACAGCAACAGCCTTGGATACCTGGGACATCTTGAATTCCATTCTATCATCATTTTCTGAGCACTAGGCCCTAATCTAGGTTTAGCAACAAAACAGAAACAGTCCCTGACCTCAAGGAGCTTACGTCTTAGTGGAAATGCAGCGATTTATAATTTTGCTCAGACACAAATTTGCATCACACCCTGCTATGCTGGGGTGTGGGAGGGGGCCACCTGCTAGCCAGTGAACCTGGATGACAACCTGGGATTGTCATCCCAGTGCAGCTTTGTTGACCATTGTCACATATGCAATACTTTATGAGGAATAATTCAACAAACAAATTTTCTTTGTTTATTTCTTTAAAAGGAAGCCAGCCCTACCACTGGTAATGTAAGTGAAAATGAAGAGCCCAAAAAAGTGATGGCTTACAAGCCAGACACAAAATTTTTGGCTAAGTTAAAAAGTGAAATTCAAAATTTGGTGGTGACTCTAGAAACACTTAATAAATATAAGGATTCTTCAAAGACTGGGGATGCATCTCTCCTAAATGTCAAGAATTCATGGCTGGCCCTAGCTGGTTTGGCTCAGTGGATGGAGCGTCAGCCTATAGACTGAAGTGTCTCAGGTTCAATTCCGGTCAAGGGCACATCCCCAATAGGGAGTGTGCAGGAGGCAGCCGATCAATGATTCTCATCATTGATGTTTCTATCTCTCTCTCCCTCTCCCTTCCTCTCCGAAATCAATAAAAAATAAAAAAATAAAAAAATCCACCCATTGGGTAAAAAAAAAAAAAAAAGAATTCATGGTTGACCAGACACCCGGTGACAAGCACATTTTCCTATCTTGGGAAATGAGGCCCAGGATAGAAAAGGGAGTTTCTTTGACCTCAATTCAGCCATGTTCGTCTTCGAGCTCAGCAAAAGAGAAGTTTCAGGGTATAACAAGTAATAGTGGGTTTTCCTCCACTTAAAAAAAAAAAAAAAGATGCATATGTTAAAATTGCCTAATAAACTTAAAGCTCTTCTCACATTCCAAAGCAGGGGTACTTGCCTGGATGCTGGATGACTAGACCCAAGAGGGAGGCTCCCATCCCACCCATTGGGTAAAAAAAAAAGAATTCATGGTTGACCAAACACCCGGTGACTAGCACATTTTTCTATCTTGGGAAATGAGGCCCAGGATAGAAAAGGGAGTTTCTTTGACCTCAATTCAGCCATGTTCGTCTTCGAGCTCAGCAAAAGAGAAGTTTCAGGGTATAGCAAGTAATAGTGGGTTTTCCTCCACTTAAAAAAATATATATATGCATACGTTAAAATTGCCTAATAAACGTAAAGCTCTTCTCACATTCCAAAGCAGGGGTACTTGTTTAGATGCTGGATGACTAGACCCAAGAGGGAGGCTCCCATCCTCCACCCAGGCCTCGTAACTGGGCATTGTCTTTTAATAGCAGCATGGAAACAAAACTGAGTGAGGCTGGGCCAGTTTCCAGCAAGACAGAACCAGTAAAAAACAGGCACTTAAAATAGAAGCATGGTGAAGAAATGGGAAGCGGTGATGGGAAAAGAAACGGTTTCCACCATTCAGAGAGGCATCAATAAGCAAACCTACTCTCATGTACACCCTCCTCAATTCTGCCTCCTCATTCAAACGTGGA